AAAAAACAAAAAAAAAAAACCAGCACCAGCAGCAAGTATACAATGAGGCACACCCCTGTAATGCCAACTACTCAGGAGGCCAAGGCAGGAAGATCACTAGATCAAGATTAGACTCAGCAACTTACTGAGGCCTTGATCAACTTAGTGAGACCCTCTCTCAAAAAATAAAAAGGTCTGGGGATAGGGCTCAGTGGTGAAGGAACCATTGGTTCAATTCCTAGTAACAAAAAAAAAAAAAAAAAAGTGGGTGTGTATGTATGAATGTTTGCTACATATTAAAGTATAATGGCTGCTCTGAGGAAAAACACTTGTTGAGGCACAAGATGAATTAGGCCTTTTTTTCAAAGGACACCAATTTTATTTGAAAAACAATGAGTATCCATTCATATCTGACTGATTATTCAGGAAATCTATTTACTAAGTTACAAAAATGAACAAAACAAGTTTGTCATTTTAAGGAAGAAAAACTGATAAATCTGAACTTTAGAGTAAGATACAGAACTTTGGAAAATTTTATCTGCCACAGGGAACTCGACAATTTTCTGATATTTACTTTTCTGGTGAGATCATTAATGACATAAAAGAATAAAATTTTTGTTACCTTATAACAAAGTGTTCAGAAGAGCCACATAATTTAATGAATTGATGTTTTCCAAATAACCAATGTAAGAAAAATCATGCTTAAGTAAAATATCCATTCAGTCATTAGTGGAGTATAAAAATTTCATTAACATGGCTTCAGATTCCACATTATAACTATCATTTAATAAACTATCATTTGCAAATTTTGGTGCAGTATCAAAGGAGAATATCCATAATTATCTGAAAAAGTTATTAAAATATTATCTTCCCTCTTCCAACTGCACAGCTGTGTGGGCTGCATTTTCGTCATATATCTCAACCAAGACAACAAGAGGTTGAATGCAAAAGTAAATATGGAAAAATCCATGTATCTTATAATGCTCAACATTAAAGAGATTTTTTTAAAAACTGTAAAATAATGCCACTTACATAATTTTTTGTTTTAGAAAATATAGTTAATGTCTATAAAAATATTTTATTCATGTTAATATACACTGGGCTTATTGTTTTTAATAAATTAAGTAGTACTTCAAAATTTCTCTAAAATAAATATAAATAGATATAGCCCATATAAATAAAAGCACTTTAGGTATCACACATTTCTATTTTCTTTTCCATGGACTAGGTATCAGACCCAGAGGTAGGCAAGCAATCTACCCACTGAGCCATATCTTAGTCCCCACAATAATTTTTGAGAGTGTAAATGAATTCTTTTTTTTTTTTTTTAAAGTTATCGGCGGGCACAACATCTTTTTTTGTATGTGGTGCTGAGGATCGAACCCGGGCCGCACGCATGCCAGGACAGCGCACTACCGCTTGAGCCACATCCCCAGCCCGTAAATGAATTCTTAAAACCAAAATTTTGAGGTGTAGTCTACATAGTATTAAGAACACCTCCATTAAGGAAGTGAATTATTTTGTTATGTCACAAATACAAGGGATGTGAAAAATAAACAGCCATATATTTACTTATCCAGCTATAAGAATAGAAATTATATTCATTGAGGCTATATAATAATAATCCATTATCGGTATATACCATTATATGGATCTTCAAAAAAAAATTTTTTTTTGTGGGGCGTACAGGGGATTGAACTAAGGGGCACTCAACCACTGAGCCACATCCCTAGACCCATTTTGTATTTCATTTAGAGACAGGGTCTCACTGAGTTGCTTAGCATCTCGCTTTTGCTGAGGCTACCTTTGAACTCCTCCTGCCTCCATCTCACAAGGTGCTGAGATTACAGGCATGTGCCACTGCACCAGGATAAAATTTTGACAACACTGTCATAGTCTGATATAGACCTTTACTTAAAAAAAAAAAAAAAAAGAAAAGAAAAAAGAAAAAAAAAGTTTTTTTAAAGACAGCAATTCTAGAATCCTAGTATGAATTTCATACTAGAAATCAACCAACTTGGGAAATCTGTTTAATTTAGTGTTAACATCTGAAACAATTCCTTTTTTGTCAAGTAACTTGGCTAAGTGTAAATTGTCTTATGAACATTCTATCAGACAAGTCTAATATCAATAAATGTGCGCTATTCAAATCTCACTGGTRAATGATGCAACCAAAACAATTTTATGCTTTTCACTTACTATAACAACTTTAAAAACAATTTTGAGATAGTTCTAAGATGAATGAAAGTATAAGAAAAACCAAAAAATGAGGAAATTTGGTAGAATCTTTTTGAATTCACAACTGTTTAAGCAGTCTTTTGCCCACAATCATCACCTAATCCACCCAATTTATATCCTATCCAGTATTCACCCTTAAATTTAAAAGTTCAAAAAAATCTAACTTAATAGTCACAGCAATAGCCATTTTTAAAAAGCTGATACAGTTAATACATATTAAAAAAGCCTCTGGAAACAACCTRTATGTCCATCAAATAAAAAAACTCTTGGGCTGGAGTTTTGGCTCAAGAACACTTGCCTAGCATGTGTAAAGAACTGGATTTTTATTCTCAGCACAGCATTTAAATAAATGAAGCCCACTGACAATTAAAACAAAAATTTAAAAAAAWTTTTTTTTGATACTTCCATTCAGTGAAATACCAAGAAGATATTTAAACAATGAGGCATATTTACAAGTAACTAACATGTAAAGATGTAAGGAAAAAAAAATAAGAYGTTAAATATCAGAATAAGCTGGGCAAAGTGGCACACACCTGTAATCCCAGTGACTCAGGAGGCAGAGGCAAAGGATTACAAACTCGAGGCCAGCCTCAGCAACTTAGCAAGACCCTGTCTCRAAGTAAAAACGGCTAGGGATATAGCTCAGTGTCTAAATGCCCCTAGTTTCAATACCCAGCACCAAAAATAAATAAATAAATAAAATCAGAATGTAAGCATGAAAGGAAAATGTAACGCAGAATTACAGAAAAACTTGTAAAAGAATAATATCTAACTGGCAAACAGCCACATATAGATAGGGAAAGGTAGTGGATATGGGGAGAATGGGCAAACTTCGTATGTGTAATTAAAATTTTTTTTWAATTTATTTTTGCAAATCATTTGTTATATATTTATGCCATTTTTTAAAAATCAGGTTCTTTAAAATAAATTTTTTATTTAGTTTTTTAGAGTTTATTTATTTATTTATTTTAATGTGGTGCTGGGGATCAAACCAGTGCCTCACACATGCTAGGCAAGCGCTCTACCACTGAGCCACAATCCCAGCCCTTAAGAGAACCCAACCTTAGTCAGGGTCCAGTCCTACCTTTCACTCAGAGGAAATTTACTATAGAAAACAGGTTTCCAAAACAAAAAAAAGAGAGAGCTATCAAGATAACAGTAACTTGAGACTGTGACTTCAGACTAAAAGGCAATAAGATGAATTAGTCTCACCATGTTGCCAAAGCCTGGGATGTGCTATAAACAAAGCAAGAAATGTAGCCTTTGGGACCATGGAGGAAGGGGCTATTAATAGGATACACGGGAGCTGCTGATGAAGCTGGCTCAAAAAAGTAGTGGCTTCTTCCCTCCTTCCACCCTCTAATCTTCTATTAACCAAAACCAGAAAGCAAGGGAGCCTAAGAAATTTAATTCCCTGAAACGCAAAACAAAGTAGGGAAAGGGTAGGAGCAAACTGGAGGCCAATTAGCATAGTTAGTTAGCAATATTTGTCCTATTTCCTATATTTCACGGCAAAGGAGAATACACACATATGGTTGCAAGGCCTCACTCTCATTTAATAATTAAATTAAAAATCAGGYCAGGCACTGTGGCACACGCCTGTAATCCCAGCGGCTTGGGAGGCTGAGGCAAGAACTCACAAGTTCAAAAGCCAGCCTCAGCAATAGTGAGGCGCAACTCACTGAGACCCTGTCTAAAAATAAAATACAAAATAGGGCTGGAGATGTGGCTCAGTGGTTGAGTGACCCTGAGTTCAATCCCCAAACCCCCCCCAAAAAAGAGCAGGTGCAGTTGTTAACTACTTTAAATTGTAAAACAGCTAACATATCCATACTTTTTTAGTTGTAGATGGACACAATATTTATTTTTATGTGGTGATGAGGACTGAATCCAGTGCCTCACACATGCAAAGCAAGCACTCTACCACTGGGCTACAATCCAGCCCTATATCCATATTTTTATTCCAATCTATCAACAAGAGGTAAGCTTTCAACAGTATTGCCAGATATTAAAACATTACCATCCTTTAATCCAAAGAATCTAAGTAAGAATATTCAATATATACAGAAATACACCGCAATGAGTCCGTCATTATACTCAAGTAGCTAAGGTAAGAAAAACCTTGGCCCTAACTTGCAGGCATTCCATTCTGTTGGCTCATTTCCATGGGGAAAAAGGGTAGCCATCTATTCAGTTACAAGTCCTGATTAGGGATGTCAAAGCCATTATTGTTTACTTGACTGTAAAAGTATGATTTACCTTTATTTGGATAATAATATAGCTTTAGTCCCTTGCCAAAGCACATTTTCTGAATCTTATCCCAACAACTCACTTGCAGCTGCCCAAAGAAAAGAACCCGCTGCACAAAATTCAACAATGTATTTACCATAAAAAAAGAAAAATGACAGTGGAGATTTTTACTAAGTATATCACATATCATCTCTTTTATAAGAACCCTTGGGAGAAATTTCTCAGGCACAGTACTATTGAGGAACAGTTTTCTCAAGAGACATGCATCTTTTATTTTTCAGATGCTGTATATACCATAATCTAATAAAATCTCTTTTATTTGGCTGCTAGGAAAAACTTCCACAATCTACCTCTGGTATCTGGAAAATACATACATCTATAATCAGCTTCAAATGATTAAATTTTCTTTCTCGTATTTCTTTCTTCTGAAAAAAAATTCTAACACAGTGTTTACACAAACATATCCCAAACAAAGTGAATAAGAAACAACATACATATACACACAACCATCAATCAATTAAAAAATAATCTACCTCAAACAACTGCAATTTGTTCTTTGTGTGGCTTCAACAAAGTCCCAGCATGCCACTTTATCAGGAGTTTCTTCTTCACATAGACCACCTGATGAAGCAGAATACTTCCTCTTGTTCTGTGCTCTGTTCATATTACATTCTTGCCAAACTCTATCCACCACATGATTTGCTAACTTTCTGGGTATTTTCCCACCATGGTGGCTAGTACTATCAGAGTTGAAGCCATCAGACACTGAAGAAAATTTGACCCACTTCTGGGCAGACTGAGGATCAACTGCAAATAAACAACAAMAAAAAAATAAGCTGTAGGAGAATAAAGTAGATTTAAATTAACATTATTGAGGGTTATATTAATTTATGATACAACTTACTCAAGCTGTCTGGTAAACCTGTTCATATTTGAAACAAAAAAGAATATTAAATACTGATAGCAAAAAAATGTCAACAGGGGATGTAAATTGAATTATAGTATGTCAATTTGTTTTCCTGACTTAGAGGATCAAATAAAAATTATAGAGGCCAGGAGTATAGTTCAGTGGTAGAACACCTGCCTAACATATGTGAAGCCCTGGGTTCTTTTCCAGCACCACAAATAAGTCAATAAATTGTCTTAATTTTGGGAAATACACTAAGTATGTAGGAATGATGGGACATCATGTATGCAACTTGTTTTCAAATGGTTCAGAAAAGACTAGTGATAATGAATGTACACACAGAGGGAATAATAAAGCAAACGTTAAATTTGGGAATCTAGAAGAGGGCGTTCTCGGTAACTTTTCAGTAAGTTTTAAATTATTCCAAAATATATATATATATATATATATTTTTTTTTTCCTTTCTTATGTATTCAATAGGTTTATCACCAGACTTGATGAAACAGACTAGTATAATACCTGTTTGGACTTCCTCAGGAGAAGTAGGTGGTGTAAGAGTAACTGAAGACATAGCAGGATCTCTTGTGGAAGCAGGCACTTGGTGGACACCCAAGCAAGAAGCTGAACAGTGAGAGGATGCCACAGAACTAGGCGTAGGAATGTCTGACTGGGGGACTAGAACAAAGCATGCTGGGTAGATCATTCGAACACCAGCTGAAAAGGGAAAAAAATGAACAGGAAAATTGATGACTATTGTGACTGCAGTGGAATTAGTCTCAATTCAAGAGCATATAATAGAAAAGCAGGCATACTATGACCATGTTTGCACAGAAAAGGTTTTTATCAAAATCCASTCTTTTGGCAGAAGCTATATTTTGTTTTTTAAAGAAAAGTCTTTTTGCATACTTGACCAACTAAACCATATAATTTTTTTAAATTATTACTAGAATTATGAACTATATTCTATTTTTAATCAACAGGTATACTTTAATTTTTTCCAGTGCTAGAGACTGAAGCCAGGGCCTCACCCAAGCCAAATACTACCATTAGGTCACATTCCCAGTCCTATATAGCTCTGTTTTAAAAGCCTAATAAATGTCTGTGTTTTGTTTCTGTTTTTGTCACAAATGTTCTGGTAGTAATGTTTTTACTAAAACAATACTGCTAATGTTTCTAATTAAAAAAAAATCAATGCAGCAATCTTTATATATAACATTTAGATTCCACTAAATACTGTATTATAGTCTAATCCCAATTATCTGCTCAATTACACACTCCCCATGCTTTCCATGTCTCCTAAGGTACAGTACATCTATGTCTTCACCCYACTGTGGGGCTTGGCTATGTGTCTTATTCTAAAATATATGCTATATCCTAATAGGAGTGTTAAATGTGCTTCCAGGGTCAGTAGCAGCCTCTTTTACTTCTTTTACTCTTCTACTTCTCCTAGTAGATTAGCATTCCCTAGTGTAAAGGTTACCTTGGTAACCTTGGTCCTTGAATGAAAAAACATACAGAACAGAGCCAATGTGAAAACAGCTGACCTAGGCAGAGTACACTAAAGCAACAAGTTCTTTAGAAACATTTTCTGTTATTGGAGATGAGAGTTTTATTAAATGTTCAAGCACTGTATAACACAAGTTTTCACTTTCCAGCCTCCAAATATTGATTTGTTCACAATTATTCCRTCCCATCTTTAGCATGCTTCCCTTCAGATAGAATATATTTCCCTATCTCAATAACTTTTGCATGGACAAGTAACTAATTTTTSTTTTGTTGGATACTGGAGGTTGAACCCAGGGGCACTTTTACCACTGAGCCACATCCTCAGCCCTTTTTATTTTGAGACAGGGTCTCACCAAGTTGCTGAGGCTAGCCTGGAACTTGTGATCCTCCTCCATCAGCCTCCCAAGTCACTGGGATTATAGGCATGCACCACCATGCCCAGCTATGTAACTAGTTTTGTCCAATGATAAGTGAGCAGATGTAATATACACCATATTCCAGCAGAAGCTTTAGCTATACTTATACGGTTAGGTTTGGTTCCTAATGTTTTGATTGTTCTTTTAAGATTAGTGTGTCCCAGATACTGGGACTCCTTTAACCTACATTACAGAATGAGAAGATATATGGTGCCAAACCATGGCCAAGTATCAGGCCTTCTGTAATCCAAACAGGAAGTAGGCAACACACAGATGCTTGGTGCTGAAAGCCACTGAGGTATTAAAATTGTTTGTTACTCAGTAAAATCTAACTAATACAGACAGCCACATGGTTTCCCCTTCAGATTAATACTCAGAATCCATACCAACAAGAACTTCTACTGCAGCTAAAGAATCATCTTCCCAATCCATATCTTCCTGTTTTTCTTCAGACATCTCCTTCAAGGAACATGAAATASGATAGAACTGTTTCCATTCACCAATCAATTTTTTTGTAGCTGAATCAGACATCTTGAATGCCTGTCCTGTGAGAGTGCCATTTAGTCCAAATGGGCTTAAGATAACTAGAAACCCAGAGCAGACATCAAGTAAGTAACTAAAGACTATTACACCAAATAAGATCATGTTGAATAGTGTGACAAGTAATTATGCAATTCTAAAAACTATTAAAAATATGTCTACCCCCAACTCAGAAATACAAAGAATTCCATCAGGAATTGAGGTATCTGTAATATTCTTCAATTTCTCTTGACTAAAAAAGCAATTTGAGGAAAACGATGTGAATATACAACTCTAAGTACTTACAATGGACTGCAACATAAATTTAAACATTAGATTTTAAGATCAAATTAACACATTTCTAGTCCTTAAAACAAACCAGCAATCTCTTTTCCTACTGGAGTTTAATGTTTTTATGATATAGATGATATTGAAAGTTCCTGTGTAACAATGTTAAACATGGCTTACTTATATGACCTGACACACAGGATAATCTTGAAAAATTAACAGGTAATGCTATTTAACAGAACACATTAAAACTTTAATATTTGTTTTCATGGATTTTAAAAAATAATTYTTACATTAATAAACATACTTTGTTGACTTAATACTCTAATGAGAGAAAAGAAAGAAAGCCACATCAAAATCATCACTAGGCTAAAGATCAGGGGCAAAATTCCACCAAGCCCAATATGCAAAATTAGCAACTTCAATAAGAATATTCTTGAAATAACAATAAAAGATCAAATTCCTAAGCCAATAAAATAATCTACCTTGAAACGAGCTATTAGATTGCTGAGCAAGGGTGATGTGCTCTTCACTGAGAAGATATACAGGTTGATGTTGGTTAATTTCCACACTGGTACAAACATTGCTTTCTCCATGCAAGAAAAAGGTGAAAGAGCAGGACAAATGTTCACTAATAAAGAAGAAAAAGTTGTATTTTAGTGATGATTAACAGCAAAAAAAAAAATAAAATAAAATAAAAAAAATAAAAAATACATAAAAAATAACTAGCTTTTCTTTATTAAGAAGTTATAACACAAAAAACGCATACTTTCTTTAACCCAGGAATGCTTCATCTGAAGGAAAAAAGTCATAGACGCAAGCAAATATTTAGTTGTAAGAAAGGTGGTTCACAGCACTATTTATGAYTTTTTTTAAAAAGCTGCAAAATAGATGAACCAGTTAAACAAGTTAGGTACACCCACATGTATATATATATCTATTATTATATAACCACAAAAAAGTTGGGAGAGAGGGTTTAATAGAAAGTAGACGACTATCAAAATAGCATGGTCTTAAATTATTTAGAAGAAATAAGAATTTTCCTTTATTAAAGAAGAATAGCAAAAAAATTAATGGCCACAATTTTTATTTTGTTCATTTTCACCCTCTCTGTAAGAAATACAAATATATAAACAGGCCATGGTAGAGCTTATCTGTAATCTCAGCACTTGGGAGGCTCAGGCAACAGATGACTTGGGCCCATGAGTTCAACATCAGCCTGGACAACACAGTAAGACCCCATCTAAAAATATACCTATTAATACAAATATGTTTTCTTGTTTTATTATTTCTGACATTGAGACATATCCAATTAATCATTYAATGAAATAATCTCTCAACCAATCAACCAATGAAATGATTTGAAAGCAATCCTAGAATCAAGGACAGATGTAAATACTCTATGAGGTGTGTCTGGGTATTCAGATTGGAAAATAAAAATGCCTTAGGACAGAAGATGTATCCTTAAGACAGATTTAGACAGTGGCAAAGAAAGGAATGAGATTATACACTAAGAATCTACTTTTCTTATTTTTTCTCCACACATTTTAAGAAGTCCTTTAAAATATGATCATTAATCAAATCATAACCTGTTAAACATGAATAAACCCTCTTGAATTTTTTCCAGACAAGGCAGAGCAAAATGAATTGGAATAATAGAACTAAGTATTTCATTTTAAAAAAATTTTTTAGTTGCCAACGAACCTTTATTTTATTTATTTATATGTGGTGCTGAGAATCTAACCYAGTGCCTCACTCATGCTAGWCAAGGGCTCTACCACGGAGCCATAACCCCAGCTCCCAAGTATTTCTTTGTCTAAAGTTGATAGAACAAGAAATTGAAATCAATCATTCAAGTTATGAAAGTAATTTAGAGAAGCTGGTTTGAAGGTATTATTTATCTCAACTGAATATTCATAGACACAAACTGAACTTATCTCTGGAATTATGGTAGTAACCACCAGAAGCACTAAACAAAAAGTTTAAAAACAAAGTAACCTAGTTATTTCTGGGAATGGGAATGGAGTATTAGAGCAGGATTTTTTTTAAATCACACCATTCAGTGCTACTTGAATTAAAATTACTTTTAAAAGTTTTAAAATACTGAATTCTACACATTATTCAGTAGTTAATATATCTTTCGGCTCTAATAGTTTTTAGTATTAAACACTGCAGAACTAACTAAATTTTTACAGAAAAATTGCAAAGATACTACAGAGAGATCCATATCCCTTCACCCAGTTTTCATTAACATGCTACATCTGTCAAAAAATAAACTTACATTGATATGTCACTATCAGTTGAACTCCAGTCTTTTATTTAAATTTTCCACTTAGGCTTTTTTTCCATCTCGGGATCCAATCCTGAGATTTGACACTACATTGCAGATACCATATTGCATTTGACGAATAATTTTGTTTTTTGTTTCTTTGGTTTTGTTGTGGTTCTAGGGATTGAATCTGGGGCACTCTACCACTGACCTACATCTCCAGCCCTTTCATTTTTTGAGACAGGCTTCTCTAAATGCCCAGGCTGAGCCTGAACTTACAATTCTGCCTCATTTTCTCAAGTAGCATGCTCCACTTCACCCAAGATACCAGTATTTCTTTATTTTTTCATTTTGTTTTTTTGTTTCCGGGGATTGAACTCAGGGGCACTCAACTACTGAGCCACATCCCAGCCCTACTTTGTATTTTATTTACAGACAGGGTCTAACTGAGTTGCTTAGTGCCTCGMTGTTGCTGAGGCTAGTTTGAACTCAGGATCTTCTTKTCTCAGTCTCCCAAGGTGCTAGGATTACAGGCGTGGGCCACCTCAACATTACTAGGGGGAATAATTATTCTGATATACTACAGCACCTTATATCAACATACCTCCGATATCCATTACTTCTCTGACCTCATTTCTCACTAGACTTCCTCTGAAGCTACCATCTCCCTGCTGTTCCTTAAATATAGCAAGCCTCGCCAAGCATGGTGGCACACACCTGTAAACTCAAGAGACTTGGAAGTATGAGGCAAGAGGATCACAAATGCAAGTCCCAGTAACTTAGTGAGGCCATAAACAATTTGGCCACACCCAGTCTCAAAATAAAAAATTTAAAAAGAGGCTAGGGATGTAGCTCAGCAGGAAAGCACTGCTGGGTTCAATCCTTCATACCCCGCCCCCCCCCCCCCCCCCCCCCCCCCCCCCCCCCCCCCCCCCCCAAAAAAAAAAAAAAAAAAAAAAACCTTACCTAAATTTACCTTCTTCAGGAATTTATTCAAAAGATTTTGTCTACACAAACATTTCACTGATGACTTGTATGCTTCTTGGTGGTTTTTAGGGGGGTACCAGAGATTAAACTGAACTGAGGGGTACTTAACCCCTGAACCACATCCACAGCCCTTTTTATATTTTGAGACTGGGCCTCAGTAAATTGCTGAGGCTGACCTCAAACCTGCAATCCTCCTGCCTCAGCCTCTGGGAGTTCCTGGTATTACAGGGTTGTGCCACCACAYCCCAGCCACTTTTCTGCTCTTGAGTGTCCTCTTTTTTGATACAATTCTGTAATTAAAACTGAGAGGGCTGGGGTTGTGGCTCAGTGGTAGCACATGTGAGACCCTGGGTTCGATCCTCAGAACCACATATAAATAAATAAAATAAAGATATTGTATCCAACTACAACTAAAATATAAATATTCTTAGAAAAAAATAGTTAGAGATATAAATACATAATAATTTCTAAATAATATTTTAATCTTAGCAAACTACTGATGTTTAATTTCTGAGAGCWACATGCCCATCAAGCTCTTTATATGTATGGACAAAAATAGAAACCAATTTTCAAAGCATTTTCTTTCGACTATTAAAAAAAAAAAAGGATGAGGGCTGGGGATGTGGCTCAAGGGGTATCGCACTCGCCTGGCATGCTCGGGGCGCGGGTTCAATCCTCAATACCACATAAAAATTTTTTTAAAAAGATATTGTGTTCACCTAAAACTAAAAAATAAATATTAAAAAAATTTTTTTTAAAAAGGGATGAGGCTACATAACAGAATGCTAAAAATTAAAGAATAAATAAAAAATAATCTTCAACTGGTTAGAGCAACTATGCATTTTTCTTTTCTTTTTTTTAATTTATTTTTTAGTTTTAGGTGGACATRATATCTTTATTTAATTTTATGTGGTGCTGAGGATCGAACCCAGTGCCCCATGAGTGCTAGGCAAGCACTCTACCACTGAGCCACAACCCCAGGCCCATGCATTTTTTCAATATGAAAAGCAATTACAGATTTTAGATTTTAGAACACTTAAATATGTCTTAGTAGAGGGGTCAAATCTTTTTAGAATAGAAAGGAGAAAAACTAACAATGAGATGCCAAAGAAGACATTTATTAAGAAAAAGACTCAAGTAAGAATAAACTATTATACAGAGAAATTATAATTTGATTACTATTAGGGATCAAGTAAACATACTATAGAAACAATTATGAAAACTGTATGCTTACTTAGTAACTAGAGACCAAATTTCAAAATGTGGGCTGTAAATACTCGAAATAATATTTGCAAATATAAGCAACAACCTCAATAGTTCCTTAGCATTAAAAGACAAAAGGGGCTAGAAGACTTAATTTTGTATCTTCACATCTACTGCTCCTTTAATCAGAAGTATAGTTCTTAAAAATACTGTTTTCAATTCAGGCACAGTAGCATATACCTATAATAAAACTACTCTGGAGGATTACAAGTTCAATGCAGCTCAGTAGTTAAGTGTTTGCTGAGCGTGTGGGAGGTTTCTGAGTTCAATCCCACTGCCTGCTTTCCCCCMAAAAAAGTGCTTTCGTTTCACAGAAGAAATTTTTATTTATTTATTTTTGGTTCTGGGGTTTGAAAAGTCACTTTATCACTGAGTACATCCCCAGCCCTTTTAATTTTTTATTTTCAGACATGGTCTCCCTAAGTTGTTTACGGTCTTGCCAAATTTCCGAGGCTGGCCTCAAACTTTCAATCCCACTCCGTCAGACTACCAAGTTGCTGGGACGTAGAAGAAATTTTAAATAAGAAAATGGATAGGAATCAAAATGGATTTTTCTTATGACAATAAAACTAAATATGTGCCAGGCATGTGGAGCACACCTACAATACCAGCAGCTTGGGAGGCTGAGGCAGGAGAATGGTGAGTTCAAAGCCAGCCTCAGCAATAGGAAGGTGCTAAGAAACTCAGTGAGCCCTGTCCCAAAATAAAATACTAAACAGGGCTGCGGATGTGGCTCAGCCGTTGATTGTTCAATCCCCAGTACCAAAAAAAAAAAAAAAAGAAAAAAGAAAATATGCTAAAAATTAGTTTCCTAAGTAGAACAATGCAATATGAAAAATGTTTTAAAGAAATACATTAACTACTCATAAATGTTATTTAGGAAAACAAAATTACAAAATTATGAAGATCATCTTTTAACTTTCCCAGCAGTCTTTCCAGATGCCCAATGAGCACTTGATTCACTTTTTAAACTAGAAAAGAAAATTTGACTGTCTGATATAAATTTGACTTCCAGGGTCTTTCTAAAGAGACTACTTCAGCCTCCTGAGATGCTGGGTTACAGGTGTTCGCCAGAGTGACAGGCCATTTTGTATTCCTTTTTTTTAAGTTGT